TGCTTAAGACATCCAGCAAATACACGTAAGCCATCAGTTTTATCATGGTCAAACACCCATTGTTGATACGAGACAACGAGTGTCTTAGGAATCTTAGACTGCACTGTGGTGTTCAGGGCTGATACACCTATAAGTTCCCTTTGATGCTCAGGGGCGCTCAGAGACAACTGACGATGAGAGATCTTTATCACAGATTGATATAGAGTCGATCCTTTCGAAATGAAGCATTGGTTCCAGGAATGCGTTGTTGATTTTATTAGCAATGTCTTGTTCAGAGAGCTGTCATAACCTTCAACCAGTAAGTTGGAAATTAGGTTTTCAGAGCCGGAACCAGGAGATATTCCTGCGATGCGCTTGACACTACTCCACCACTGACTTGGCTTGGAATACTTGAGATGACTTACTTTCGTGGCGTAGTACTTGGCCCTGAGAACTTTGCGTTCTTGGTTGAACACGTTTCGGTAGTGTCGGAAACGTCCGGTGTCATTTTCAGCAAAGGCTTTCTGGCGGAGATGGATGAGGCTCTTGAAATTAGAGGTTATCCAAGTTGCATCGTTGACATGAAACCTGGACTTCTTTACGATCTTTACGATCGAAACACCTTAAGAAATATTCTGCATGAATTTCTTGTTTCTTGTAGGTTTTGAGTGAATATAAACGGATAACTTAAATTAAATTAAATTCAAGTTGAAAGAACAAGAAACTAATACGATTAAATAAGCTTACATCTTTATTATTATAAAAAATTGTGTCAAAAACGAGTTACATTTTTCTATGAAGCTAAAAATTTAGAAATTTAGAGAGTATTCTTTATTTGATCCTATTACATTAGRTTAAGGAAAAGTAACATAAGCTAAGGCTTTAATTGAGATTCAAATCATTGACGAAGATATGATGTTTTCATTCAGCGAAAGCAGAACACATTCCGTTGCCAGTTTTACCTTCCTTTTTCTAATGTTATGCATCTAGTTCACATTTTGAGAGTCATACAGCACACCTCGGTGTTTGTTTGGGGAATTCTCGAGCAGACGTGAGGTCTGTCTCGTTCTTTACTGGTCTGCTTTCGAATTCTCCCAAAAAAGGCCTCGGTTTTAATAGCGCTATGAAGGCACAGAAAAAATGTTTTATTTCTTCAATATAGACTAGTAAACAACCCGCGAGGCACGAGATGGTGACGAAGCACCACAGGTAATCCGCCTTTTTGATGACGGCGCGCGCCAATAATATAAAATACAAAAGCTTGCGCATTCGTTCTTTCCTTTCACTCAAGCAATATTTTGGCGGCCTTTGTCTGAACCCGGCAAAACATATGAAAGCTTATCTCTATTTCAAGTGTGAACAAGATTCTGAGCCTGAATTTGCCTCTGCTTATTTCGTGGTGTAAACCGGCCCTTAGTCATGTTAGTATTCTCTTCACAT